CCAGTGAGTTTATCAGAAGAATACCCGGCTACAGTACACGTCAGTTGAGCGCTGTTGCTCTGCGGCACTTGTTTGTAATGTATGATCATGATGTCGAAAACTGGAAATAACCACAAGTTGTATACACAATATAAGTAATAAGTCTATATATGGCAGTGAGATGTCAGTAGGGCAGCAGGCTTCTTCCCCATATCTTTCACTTTCTCTCTGTGACTCTCCCCTCTCTCTTATCTCCTATTCTCTCTTATCTTACATATATATATATATATATATCTTCTCTTTTTATTTCTCTATCGCTCTCTATCTATCTATCTATCTATCCCACTGTCTCTCTCTCTTTCATCCCATATATGTACTTATATTTTTCTTTTTCTATCTCTCGCTTTCGTTTGCTCGCTGTATTCCTGTTTATCTCTCCCTCCTCTTCCCCCTCCTCTCTCCTCTCCCACACTCACTCTTTCACTCTCTCTCTCTCTCTCTCTCTCTCTCTCTCACGGCTGTGTGTGGGTTCTTGCAGGAGTTCTGTGCCGAGGATGAGTGTACAGGACAAGAGCAGCAACGTGCAGAAGGACATGAAGGGAGAGGGCGCCGCGCAGGTACAGCTGCAGCTCGCGCCGCACCTCAAGAAGATGGACTCCGAGGAAGATGAAGATGAGGAGTCAGGTGAGCGGAGGAGTACGATGATGTACAGGGAAGGTTGGCAGGGTTGTGGGGGCCAGGCCCAATTATAGGAATTTCGTCGATTAGCGGTGGGGTAGAGCGACAGACATTTGAACCTGGATTTCAAGATTATGTGTTGATGCAATCTTAAAAATTCTAATTATACATACATATATATATATTATGCTGCTTAACTGTTCCAGTAGAGGATCACTGCACTACCATCACATGCTGCACAGTTATACAGTATAATGGCAGTATTTTTTTTAAATCTCTGACACAGTCCAAGTGCTTGTGAGTGGGGCAATTAAGTTAAAACAGTGCAGCTTTCTTGTGAAGAAATGTAGTGTGTGTTAATTGGGATGGGGGAGGTAGGGAGTATTTTTTGTGTTGGGTAAAACTAGGGTTGTGTGCCACAGCAGGATAAGTGCAACCACGCAGGAGTAGAATGAGAGATTGAGAAAAAGTATTAGGCAGTAAAAAAGCAGCATAAAAAGCTCATGAGATGTGATGTGATTGGGCATTAAAAACTAAAGGAAAGCGATTATGTAAAGATATCAAAGGGTTGGGAGCGAAAGTCCGATATAGGATGATTTAAAAGTGAGGGTGAGGTGGGAGAAGCAGTGGAGGAAGCACAGACAGTGCCCTCAAACCTACTATAGAATGAACTGCAGCAGCGTGACTATTAGTGACCTGTATAGGGTCGGTCCTGTGTGCGTGTGTGTGTCTGTGCGTGCGTGCGTGCGTGCGCGTGTACGTGTGTGTCTGTGCGCGTGCGTGCGTGCGTGCCTGCGTTTGTGTGTGTGTTTGTGTGTGTGTGCATGCGTGCGTGCCTGTTGTGAGGACCAATAAACGAGGTGTAACTGACTAGTGTATTCGCCGTTGCAATTTAGCCAATACGTTCTCCTCAGTCATTGTCATTCGTGTTGAATCTCATCTTTGCAGAGGCTGAGAAATCTAGTCAAGACAAGAAGCCAAGCAAGGTTATGGTAAGTCGAAGCACGTGCTTCTCTTTCTTTTTGCTGCTAGCAGCAGAGTGTACCACTTGCAGCCGTGTCTGCGATCCATGGTGGTAATGAGATACCAGAAATTAATGGAAGCCCCGCGGCATCTCTCGTCATTGCCATTCTCGTGTTCCTTACTTGATGAAATGCATATTGAAAAAATTGTATGCATCTCCATGAATAACGCAATCTAATTTTTGCGTTAAATTAATATATTTTGATTAAATATGATTTATTTATTAATCAGGTCATCAGACCATGCTGGGTATCACAAGTTAAAAAAATGGAGAAATGGGTGTCATAATTTTCATTGAAATCGAAAAATTTTATCGAACTTTGACAGCCATGATTAGACCGGCATTTCGATTGCCATTAGTTCCGTGCAACGGTGGAATGGCGGACGAGTAGTGCTTTCATCGTAGCAGACGACAGTTGCGGCGACTTGCCACGATAAACGCCCACAACTCTTAATTGCTGTTTTGCCCTGGCACTCGCGCGCGGCAGCTGTCGGCTGTCTTGTCTGTGGGATGATCGCGGGCGGGGGGTTTTTATACCCCTCGGCCGCCCGCCGCATGCCTGCATCGCGCGCTTCGTCTCGTTTCGCTGAGACTGCGTGTTCGATAACCGCTTTTTTTTACACTTGTGCTGCCGTTTTGCATAACGCTGTTTAGAGTTGAGTGGGTGCGGAAGGACTGGGCCACGCGCGCTCGTCTCACTGTCACGCGTTTTTCGTAACTGACGCTCTAAAAGATGCGTTGTGGCACCACCTGCCGGCGGTTATCGGTCGTCCGATTATATCCTTGTGGTTATTTTTGGTGCCGGCCGGATGCCTGGTTACATGGAGGGTTGAGAATTTTGAGAAAGTCGGCGTCATGTTCTGTCAATCACGGAATCATCAAGTAAAGTTAAATAACAAAGTGTAAAATGTGTAACTGGAGAAGTTATTTAGTTAAAGATCATAGATCAAAACCGAATTTCTACTTGAATCAATGTAATGTGATTATATGCTATCCTGACTGTATCAAGTAATCATGCTCTCTGTGTCACCCCATGGTTGTTTAGAAAGTGCTAACTCTAGCATCTATGACTGCAGGCTTTTCTGGGTTCCTTCTCTTTTGAACGAATTTGTAAGAGTTGCCAGTTGCTGGTGCTCTCTAACTTGCCAGGATCTTATGTATCAATCGAACATATGCGAAACAGTCCGTCAGTGTAGCGTGATCAAATAACACCAATCGGCAACAAAATGTTTTTTATCGACGACGTATTTCGAAATAATCTCTCCGGTTACAAGATTGAACGTCATTCGATGATTCAGTGATTGACAGAACCTGAGTGCTGACTTCTTGAGAACCTCCCAGCCCTCCCGCGTTGGTGACAGTGGGTGCGTGTGCGCGCGGGCTCAGCAATGCTTGACTTCCCCGCCTAGCCGACGAGTGTCGCATGCGTGATGCATGATAACCAGCTGTTCCGTTGCGTTCGTCGTGAAGGGCTCGTCGCAGATGCCCTTAGCAACCGTCACCATAGAAACGGGAAAGCCGGCGGTCGCGTCGTCGTCGTCGTCGTCGTCGAGTGGCGACGACGAGGAGTCAGAGTCATCTAGTGGCGACTCGGCGAGCGAGGAGTCGGAGAGCGGGAGCGAGGCGGGCAAGGTTGCCATTGTCGTCAGCGATGGCTACGCGAACCACGAGCCGCCGCAGGTGAGATGCTGCCTCACCTCTCACTACAGCAGCAGCAGCAGCAGCACTGGTGGTGGTGGTGTGTGGGTAGGGTGGGGGTGGTGGTGTGTGTGTGTGTGCGCGTGCGTGCGTGCGTGCGTGTATGTATGTGTGTGTGCGTGTTTATGTGTGTGTGTGCGTGTGTATGTATGTAATGCGTGCGGACATATGCTACTCACACCAATTGTTTCACTTGTCTAGTAACATCTAAATAGTGAGGGGACCACAGTTTGTTTGTGTATGTCACATTGTAACATTACTTAATGCAAAGCACAGAGATGTTTTTAATCGTGA